CAGTTCTCTATTCCTCCTTCTCTTATTCTCATCCCTTGTGATTTGATGACTTTCTTCAGTGTTATGTTTAAATTCCTTTATTTTTGGTGTGCTAATACAGGTTTTTGGTTTGTGGTTACCCTGAGGCTCCTATACAACAACCTGTGTATAAGGGCACCTGGGTGGCTCGTGGTTGAGCATCTGCCTTCAACTCAGGTTGTGATCCCAGGATCCTGGGATCAAGTCCCACATCAAGTTCCCTGCAGGGAGCCTGCTTCTCCCTCTGCTCTGCCTATGTCTCTACATCTCTCTGGCATCTGTCTGTTTTGTGTATTCATTAATTGTTGCAGATATAGATTTTAGTACTTTTGTCTTTAACCCTCATTAATTTTATAGTTGATCCACTACCTTTTCTATGTTTGCCTTTTCCAATGAGATTTTTTTTTTCTTTCATGTAGTTCCTTATTTCTAGTTACTGGCTTGTGATTTTTTTTCTTTCTTTTTTCTATATTTCTATTTATTTCCACTTCAATCTTTAAGATTCCTTTCCTTCTGCTTGCTTTTGGTTTTGATTGCTCTTTTTTGTAGTTTCTTAAAGTGGAAAGTTAGACTATTCATTTGAAATCTTTCATCTTTCTTAACATACATGTTTACAGACATAAATTTTCATATTCATACTACTTTCACTGCATCCCATAAGTTTTAGTATGCCTTCTTCATTTTCATTCATCTATATATTTTCATCTCCGTGTGACCTCTTTGACCCATCGGTGCACTTGGGAAAAGTGTTTATTCTTTTTTTCGAGTGCTCTGTGTTAGGTGTAAATTGGTTTATAGTGTCATTCAATTCTGTTTCCTTGTTGATCTTCTGTTCAGTCATAGCAGTTACTGAAAATGAGAGAATGAACTCTCCATTTGTCACTGAATTGTACATCTCTGCTTTCAGTTCTGTCAGTTTTTGCTTTATGTATTTTGGGGCTCAGTTTTTACGTACACATGTGTTTGTAATGATTATATATCCTTGTGACTGACTTGGCATTATGTTTCTCTCTGTTGCTAATACTAATTTTAAGCTGCAAGTCTTTTATGTCTGATATTAGCACACCTACTCCAACTCTTCTGGTTACTGTTTGCATGGTTTATCTTCTCCACCCTTTTGCTTTCAACCTCTGTGTCTTTACCAGTGTTCTTTTTTTTTTAATTTTTATTTATTTATGATAGTCACACAGAGAGAGAGAGAGGCAGAGACATAGGCAGAGGGAGAAGCAGGCTCCATGCACCGGGAGCCTGACGTGGGATTCGATCCCGGGTCTCCAGGATCGCGCCCTGGGCCAAAGGCAGGCGCCAAACCACTGCGCCACCCAGGGATCCCGACCAGTGTTCTTTATTTCTTCATGTGGATTTGAGTTATTTGATGCCTTTTCATCTCAGCCTGAGGACATACCACGAGTATTTTTTGTAAAGTATGTTAGTGACACATTTTTTCAGTTTATATTTATCTGGAATTGTTTTAGTTTCCTGTTTGTTTTTTTATTTTTTAAAAAGATTTTATTCATGAGAGACAGAGAGAGAGAGAGGCAGAGACATAGGCATAGGGAGAAGCAGGCTCCATGCAGGAAGCCCAATGCAGGACTCGATCCCAGAACTCTGGGATCATGCTCTGAGCCAAAGGCAGACAACCACCAAGCCACCCAGACTTCCCAGGTTCCTGTTTATTTTTAAATGATTCTTTTATATAGAATTTTTGACTGGCAGTCTTTTTCTTTCATTACTTTAAATATCTCATCCCACTGCCTCTGGCCTTTATCGTTTCGGATGAGGAATCAGCTATTAATCTTGTTGAGGATCTCTTGCACAAGTCGCTTCTCATGCTGATTTCAGTATTTTTTATTAATTGAGATATAATTGGCATACAGTATTCTATTAGTTTCATACAACATGATTCAATTATTTGTATATATTGTGAAATGAGCACAAGTCTAGTGGACATCCATCATCATATGTACCTATGATTTTTTTCATCTGAGAACTTTGAAATCTGTCTTAGCAACTTTCAGATATATAATACTATAGTCACCATGCTGTACATTACCTCCCCATGAACTACTTATTTTATAACTGGAAATTTGTTATCTTTTGACCACCTTCACCCATTTCTCCCACCCTCTGTCTTTGTGTCTCTCCTCCTCTCCTTCTGGGGACTCCTGTTTGCAAATGGTTTCCTTCATTGTGTTCCACAGGTTGCTGAAGCTCTGTTCATTTTTTCATTTTTTCTTTCTGGTTATCAGACCAGTCTCGATTGACATTATCTTCAGATTTGCTGATTTCCTTCATCTGTTTGCTCAAATCTGTTGTTGAGCCTCTCTGGTGAATTTTTCGTTATAGTTACTGTGCTTTTCAACTCCAGAATTTCTATTTAGTTCTTTCTTTAATGATATTCTGTATTTGGTGATACGTCATCTTCATGCATTGCTTTTTAGTTCTTTTTAGTTCTTGCAATATGGTTTCCTTTAGTTGTTTTAATATATGCATACCATCTGATTTAATGTCTTTGTCTAATAAGGCTGCCGTCTTGGCTTCCTCAAGGACAGTTTCTACTGATTGTTCCTCACCCCACATAGGAGTCTTGCTTCTTGCATGTTTCATAATTTTATTTATTTATTTATTTATTTATTTATGATAGAGAGAGAGAGAGAGAGAGGCAGAGACATAGGCAGAGGGAGAAGCAGGCTCCATGCACCGGGAGCCCGACATGGGATTCGATCCCGGTTCTCCAGGATCGCGCCCTGGGCCAAAGGCAGGCGCTAAACCGCTGCACCACCCAGGGATCCCCGTTTCATAATTTTCTGTTGAAACCTGGACATTTTAAATAATCTGTCAACCTTGGAAATCATATTCCCTCCTTATGGTTTGGTGGTGTTTTTTATTACTACCTGTATAGTGCCATTTCTGAACTAGTTCTGTATGTAGCCTTTGCTTGGCTGGCTTAATGATCATCTAATGATTGGACAGATACCTCTTTAAAAATCTGTGTCTCAACCTTTGACAAGTAGTTCCGTGTGTTAGTTCAGTACTCAGCCAAGCAGCTTACTACTCTGCCTCAGCCTTTACTTCCTCCTTCTGCAGAGCCTCAAGGCAGCCGGTGGCAGGAGCTTAGAGCTTTTCAGGTCTTTCCTGAACATGCACATGGCACAGGACACGAACATAGCCCTATGTGTGTGTACACATGACCTTCTAGATTCCCAGAACTGTGTCAAACCTTGTTCATTTTCTTCCTGTTGCTCCTCTGGGGTGATCTTGGGGCAATGATCTACCTATTGTGCTAGTTCAGCATCTTGGCCAGGTCATGATTCTAAACAAAAGATACTACTAATATATATATATACTCTACCTCTTTAAGTTCACAGTTAATACTATACAGTAAGTAGCATCGACCCATCCCCTTGTCCGTCTCACACGTAATTTGTTCTGGGCATATCAGAAATCTGCCTCCTGGCAGAATCACCTGGGAAGCCTGTGATGACCTCAAGTACGGGGCTCTGCACACCAGCTCTGAAGCCCATCTACAGGACACCATGACACCCCCAACTGAATGGCTACAGTTCAAAAGACTGAAATTTCCAATCATTCCATGAGAGCTCCTGGAATCTTGTATGCTAATGATGGGAATGTGATAAGACACAACTACTTTGGGAAAGCTTCACCATTTTTTTATAAAACTAAATACACATTTACGATTACAACCCAGCAAGTGCACTCCTAGGTAATGAGAAATGAGAACCTCTACACAAATATTTGTTATAAATGTTCTTACCAGCTTTATTCATAATAGCCCAAACTCAAAATAACCCAAGGGACCATTAACAGGAAACTGGATAAACAAATGACTGTACGTCCATACAGTGAAATACTAGGCACCAATGACATGAACACATGCTGTTGATACACAGGACAAGATAGGAAATTGCAAAAACGTGTTGAGCAGAAGTGGCCAGGCACAGAAAAGCATGTACTCTGTTACTTTGTTTGTAGGATATTCCAGAAACAGCAAAACAATAGTGATAGAGAGCAGGTCAGTGGTTGGATAAGCCTGTAGTGGAGGGGCACAAAGAACTTTGGAAAGTGATAGAAATGTTCTGTATCTTCATTGTGGTGGAGGTCCCCTAGGTACATGTACTTGTCCAGTTGCAATGAACTATATATGCTGGAAACATTTGGAGCTTCTTGTATGTAAACTCTGCCTCAATAAAGTTTTCTTTTTCAATATAGTTTAAAAAAATACTCTGCAAGAGACACCCCTGCTCCTGACTCTCTGTAACACAGGTCCCCACTCGGACACCTGCAGGACCAGGTGGAGGAAGTGAGTCAGAGCAAGCCAGGGTGTCTGAAGGGGACAGCCCCTGCCAGTGTAGCCAGATAGGCCAGGTTTATTCTCAGTCAGGACTACATATTTAACATTAGCACCTAATTCAAAGCTTTCGATAATGTCACACAAGCCACATGTGGCTTACAGGCAACCAGTTTATCATGTTCTGTGCCCTAAAATATGCCCTGAGCTCAAACTATAGAGCCTTGAGTCAAATTACACAGAGTGGCTTTTCCTGGGTGCAGCTCTGGCATGTTGCTCTTGACCCCCTTTTTAAGGTGATGGGGGCTAGTCTGATGCTTTGGGTCTAAGCCCAACCTGTGAGATGGGACTTCCTTAAAGCCTCTCAACAAAAACCAGCTATGGGAATGCACAGCACACCTTATCTTCTGATTTGGTCTCTTGGGGCTCCTCTTGTACCCCTGGGGGTACCTTACCTGAGTTACAGTCACATTAGCACCGGAGAAAACAAGAGGACAGCCCACAGGGGCTTCAGGAGAACCCTGTCTACCCCCAAAGTACTGAGTTCTGAGGGGTGCAGGCCTGTGCTTGTCGCTGCCCTCAGAATGCGTGTGGCAGTTCTGCTGCCCTTATGCTCCCTGGAGCGTGGCCCACTTTTCCAGGCATCTGACATGCACTTTGTCCCCTGGCTCAGTTTGGGGGCAGCCCTGTATCCTGTGCTGTAGGCCTGGCCGTCCTAGATGTTCTGGAGAAGGAGCAGCTGCAGGCTCATGCCGCCTCTGTGGGCAGCTACTTGATGGAGCTCCTTGAGGAGCAGAAAGCCAAACATCCGATCATCGGGGACGTCAGGTGAGACTGGGGCAGCAGTCATTACCCACTGATTAAGAACCTGCCAGTGGCCAAGTGCGGTTTCTTCTGTCACCTCCTAAGCACCTGGGTTGGTGGGGACTTGCATCTTCACAGAGGAGGAACTAAAACACTGAGGTGCGCTCTGGCCCAAGATGACACTTCTAGGGAAGGGAAAACCAGGGTCAGACTTGGCTCTGACCCCCAACCTTTGCTCGGTCACACCTGGGGCCCTTCCCCTCGCAGTTACTCCCTGGGACTAGGTCACCACCATCTGAGGGTTCTATGGCTCTCAGCCTGCCCAGGAAGCAGAGAACAAGCCCTGGTGCTTCCCAGAGGCCCAGGCAGAGGAGGAGAGCAAGGACCAGGGTCCACCCTCACCAGGCCTGGTCTCCTAAGATGTCACCTTTCTGCTCTAGGGGCACTGGGCTCTTTATTGGTGTGGATCTGATCAAAGACGAGGCAACCAGGACACCAGCAACTGAAGAGGCAAACTACGTGGTGTCCAGGTATTGGTGACCTTCGCAGCATCTAGGACCCTGACTGGGAAAGAGCCTCCTTCCTGCTTCTGCTCTTGTCCCCGTGTTCCTGGGCACTCAGGGCTCACAGAGGGCTTGCCTGAAGGAGCTGACATTGGCCTGAGCAGGAAGGGAGTACCCATCTGTGCACCACTCAACTCCAGACAGGAAAAGCAGCCCGGTCAGCTCCGTGGCCTGTACCCTGCACCAAAGGCTTCTGATGGGTGCAGGCCATTCTCAGCCAAGGATGCCAAAGCCACAGGGGCTCTCAGACCGAAAAGCCATACTTCACGTTCCCCAGGTGCCCAAGGGGAAGCAGCTTCTCCACAGGGCTGTGGCAGAGCCTGACTGGGACCTCCAGACTCCAAAATCCCCAGCCCCAGCCTACGTGTTCCTTCCCTAGATCCAAGGCAGGAGCTGAACCTGAGGAAACCCTCCTGGTGTCTGTGTCCTTATTCCAATTGCAAAACACACATCATTCTGTTTTGAGATCATGTGAACAGGAACCACGTAAAAATGTTCTTGGGATTCTTGAGACAGGCCCCTCCTGTATTCGGCTGAGCCCTGCCTCTGCTGGCAGGCACACCTACTGCCTCCCCCCAGGGAACCTCAGGACTGGAATCAATGGGATCAGGGGGAAGGAGGGAGCCAGCCATGAGGCCCAGCCTGACTCCCACCTCACACCCACCCTGAGTTTAGTGCCATCAGTGAGACTAGACCAGGGGCAGGTGTGGCACCTGCGGCTGCCCTGCTTGCTGGTGGCAGGGCTGGATTAAGGTCCAGATATTGTTCTTTCTAGGACCACAGTCCATGCCAAGAAGAATGGTATGGGAGAAAGGAGCCAGCCTGACAAGCTTAAACAAAAAAAGGAATGAGAGATTGGAAGTGGTGTCAGAATGTAAATAGAATCTCGTCAGACCCCTTTTCTCTGGCCCAATAACCTCCCTAGGTTAAAGCATCAATGTGGAATGTTAACATTTTCAGGTACCAGTTATGTTGAGGGTTAAGTCCTCATTCCTAAAAAGAACCGGAAATTAAAACTGGAGAGTCCTTTGGGATTTCAAAGACTACTTCTGGACAAGCAGCAGAAACAGGGTTGGCCAAGGAAGTTACTGAAGCTAGTGAGGGGGACGTGGGGTTCGGCATACCAGCTTACAAGTGCTGCTGATGTGCAGGAATGCTTCCTGTCCACGCTGTAGGCTAGGGCTGGTCCTGGCTCAGGCTGGGGCTCCAGGGATGGAACAGCTGAGGCCCCTGTGCAGGGTGGGAGCAGCATGCGGAGGGCCAGGTACAGGGTACCCCAAAGGACCAGCAGGTGGGAATGGGGAGGAGCCATTGGTGGAGAGTAGTACCTGGTCTGCCATGGGGCCCCCAGGCCAGGGTAGCTAGAGCTGGGGCCTGGAAGGGCTCCCTGGCTGGTGGGCAGCAGGGGATCACCACTTCCTTTCCTCAGACTGAAAGACTACTACATTTTGCTGAGCACTGATGGTCCTGGGAGGAACGTCCTCAAGTTTAAACCCCCGATGTGCTTCAGTGTGGACAACGCACAGCACGTGGTGGCAAAGATGGATGCCATCCTGACAGGTGAGGGGGTGGGGAGCAAGGAGCAGCTGACTATGTCCTTAGAGCCTGCCTGCAGCCAGGATATAGGACATTCCAGGGTGCTAGCCAGGAGTCTTCCAGGCGGTGCAGGAACAGGGAGCTGAGGGGTGGGGGTGCGGGGGTCCCTGGGGCCCAGGCCTGCACTCACCTCACAGACTTCCTGAGCACCGAGCAGGCAGGCATGCAGGAAGGCACTAGCTGTCCTGCCTGAGTGGTACTGTGGATGCAGGGCAAGGGAACCAGAGCTCGGGTGAAAGACCCCACTGTCATGAGTGAAGCCATGTAGACAGAGGGCAGGACCTTTGTGCCTCACTTGGAAGGCTGGGGTCTCCCTCAGGCACTGAGCTGCTGGGATGAGAGTTGCACCCAGCTGATGAAAGGACACTGGAGAATTGCTAACCCTTTTTGGGTGACTTTGTGCTGTTTTTCAGACATGGAAGGAAAGATGAGAAGTTGTGAGACGCTGAGGCTCCGGCCCTGAGGCATCCTGTCCTCCCCTGGGTGAGTGGGTCTTATTCCTCATAACCCACACAACTGGGGACCGCAGCAGCAGCAGCAGCAGGGGCTCCTTCCCTCAAGCAAGCCAAACCTTGCTCTTAACCAGGTCATCTCCAGCCACCCCCCAGAAAAATCTCCACTATGCATTTTATAGTGGACAGCAGAGAGCAGGAATAGCACCTGCCTTGAGCCAGTTCTTTCCTCTCTTGAGGTGATGGGAAACATTCTCTGCCAGGCTTCATCCACTGCTGCCTCTTGCCACCAGGTCTCCTGAGGCCTCAACCACCAGCCCCCTGGGTGCTCCCATCCAGTCAGCAGCTAGGCTCTGCCGAAGGGGGCTGGGCTGTCCTCCAAGAAAGGACACTGTCCAAATGCAGCTGGCTCCTAGGACATGGTCTCCATCTATAGGTTCAGTCCTTGCTGGGAGACCAAATACCCATTTCTACCAACAAGTACAGACAGAAGTTTGCAGGTGTCCCAAAATGTTCCCCACTGCCCTGGGGGGGGGGGGGGGACACCTTTCATCTTCAAGAGGCCTGTGGTCCTGGAGTTTAACTTTCTCTAAAAGGGTGAGTCCTGAGTAGGACCAAATCCTCAAAAGAAGCTACCCAGCAGTTCTGAGAGTCTGCAGCTCTGCCTGACAGGACTGCTGTTAGGTCGTGGAGGGTACTAGAGCTTTGAAGGCTCAGGAGCACCTAGCCCTTCCCCGCTCTTCACAGGATACCCCACACTCACCCAGGCTTTGGGGGTTTTTAAATTTTTATTTCAAAAGCTTGGATAGCTTCAATATCCAGGTCGTGGCAAAATCAGGACACGTGTAAAATACCTTACAATACATTAGATTCCCAAAAGGTACCAAAAAGTACAGTAAAATTAACACTTCCATTAACAGGAAATGTATGACACAAATAATATAAAATTAAAAGGTGAAAAAAAGGTGACACTGGTTTTCTAGGATACAGTTTACTCTTTACAACCAGGGTCCACAGGTCCAGGCTGCACCGCAGCAGCAGGAAGCAGGCCCTCCAATCTGGCTCTGGGAACCCGAGAATAAAATCAGCCCATAATGCCGCTCTGGCCTCAGAGACCCCACACGCTGCCTACAAACTAGAGCTCTGGAAATAGTCAACAGGAGATTGATTTCCAGGGGGAGATTTAAATAAGATGCACATGGGACAGGCCATAGAAAGTATGCCAAGTTAAATTTGGTACATAATTGTGTTCACTCGATATCCAAACAAAGCGTGTGCGATCAGTCGGGCATCCTGCTGAATGAAGCCTCAGTATGGCTTGTAGTTATTCTGGTGGCCGCCGCGTCGCTGGCTCTTCCCGTAATTTGTACTACCCTGACCTAGGAAGGAGAACAACAACGAGCCTTTACCCCTGTGCCAGGCGCTTGACATGCATCCTCACCAGAGCCTGCACCTTGTCCAGTAGGGGTGGTGATCGCGCCCCACCTTCCTGAGGCCCAGAAGCTCAAGAGCTTCATCAGGCGGCGCGCCAGTGGCCGAGCCAGGCCGCAAAGCCCAGCCTGTCCGACTCCAAAGCCCCTGCTGCCAGCGGCCCCTGCACTGTCTGTCCTGCCTCCCAGGGTGGGTGAGTGGATGGGGCCTCCCTCTCTCCTACTTACTGTAGTCGTAGCCGGGGCCGTAGCCGTAATAGCCATAGGGCGAGTAGTCGTAGCCGCCATAGCCGGGCCCGTAGCCCTGCTGGTAGCCGTAGCCCTGGTTCCAGTAGTTGCCGTAGCCCTGATTCCAACTCTGACTCTGACCTGTGGGGGGAGCAGGGCACAGGGGCCCGTGGACCATTTAGCACACGCAGGAGCTAGGATGGAGGAAATCCTGCCCTTTGGGTGGCGGGGTTACTATGGCAACTCAAGAGCCAGAAATCAAGGGACTGCTGTCCTGATGTAGAGGGCCCTGGGCCCGACCCTGCATTGAGACCCAAGCCTGGGATCTGAAGGCCAGGAAAGGCCTGAATGCTTAACTTCACTAGGGGCAAATGAGGCAGGAGCTCACTCTCTCTGGAAATCTCCCTCTCCTCACCCCTGCCCTCCCTGGCAGCTGGGCCACAAAAAGGATGAAATTCAGGCTTTGGAGTCAGAGGGGCCTGGACAGAAGGAGGTAAAGCGCCTGGCACAGCCCTGCCCTACCTTCTGCCCACCCACCCACAGGTGTACCAAGACTCAGGACAGCCACAGAGCCGAGCGCACCCCCTCGTGCCCACCCTCACCACCCTCCCTGGACTGCAGTGCCGAATGCCCCTCCGCCCCAGGGCCCCAGGCCACGAAGAGAGCCAGGCTCTTTCATGCCAAGCAGCAGCAGCACAGCCGATGGGACTCGTCCACCCTGGCACACCAGAGGCCAGAGAGAGCCCCCCCAAGACAGGCACGGAAGCTCCATGCAGGCAGGGACCCATCCTCATCCAGGCTGCACTCACCTCCACTTCCGCCACCACCGCCGCTGCCCCGGTTCCCTCGGTTGCGGTTCCCACGGCCCCCAGAGCCATACTGCTGCTGCTGATAGACCTCTTTGGGTTGGGCCACCTTGATTTCACACTGAAAGCAGAGAAGACGAGGTGGATCAAACCACCGGGACAAGCTCTGAGTAGATAAAGACCTTTGTGGACAGGTACTCAGATGGCCATTCGGGACCATCTGCTCAAAAATAAAATACATCCAGGACTGGGCACCCAGGTGGCTCTGTCCAGTAAGCAACCAACTCAATTTTTGCTCAGGGTCATGGGATTGGGCCCCATGTGGGGTTCCATGCTGAGCACAAACTCCGCTATTCTCTCCGTCTCCCCCATGCACGTACACTCACTTTCTAAAGTAAATCTTTAAAAGACAAAAACAAAAAAGACACACTGATATAAAATGTGAGAAACCACATTTGGGCTAGAAGCTTTCAGGACTACAACCAAAATCTCAATGGACCTAGACTCACTAGGGCCTTTTTGGCCAAACCTTTCCCCAGACAACTTACTGGGGGGGTAACAGCTATCACCCCAGATATACTGATGGCCACACAGAGGCAGTTCTGCATCTAATGACTGGGAAGGAAGGACACAATGAGGCCAATGCCAACCATTGTAGCAAGATCCCACAGCAGGGAGCAGGTGTGATGCCAGCGTGGTCCTACTGAGCAAGAGAGATCAAGAGCTGGCTTCTCAGATCAAGGGCCTTAGAGGAAAAAAAAAAAAAAAAAAAACTCTTTTTTTCTTCTCTTTACAGAAATGAAGCATCCCCTTCAAATACACTACGATGGCAACCCTGACCTGACCTCCAGCTTTGAGGAAGAAAGCCACTGAGGCTCAGGGCAGGGCTTCCCTGGGGCCATACTGCTCCTCCCTCTTCCCCCAACCACTGGCCTATTGTGGGGAAGGGCCAGATGTGTCCCCTGAGGATCCAGACTCAATTTCTTTTGCTCAAAAATCTCATCAGTGTGGGTGGGGTTATGGTCAGGGACCTCCCAGGGCTCCTGCCTAAAACAGTTTAAGGTCCCCTAATTAGGACCAGTCAAAAATTTTTATATGTGTCACCATTCAAGCATTACTCCTTCAAAAAACTGGCAAACCACCCCTTCCCAAGTGACACCATCTGCTATCTTCTACCCTGTTGAATGAATTAAAAATGCTGAATACATTTTATTTCAAAACCCACCACCAGTAGCAGTTAACTTTATAGGTACTTCTTGTCCCTTTCACATTGAGACACAGAAAGAAACCACCTCTGCGTCATTAACTGTGCAGTGAGGCAACAGTGAACGAGCTCTTCTTGCCCAACTGTTCCTAAAAATCTATAAACTTTATGTTCTTTAAAGGCCCAAATCCAGAATTTATTCTAAATTCCCCAGCTAGGATTAAAACTTCTAGGAGCTCCACCCTACCTGTCCTACCTTATCTGGCTGCCACTCCTGCTCAGACCTGCCACACCCTGCCGGTGAGCCACACCCTCAACTGCCTCCTTAGCCACCTGGAGAATACCTGAAACCGCCATGCTCCAGCCAGACCAGAGTTCAGAGGGAAGGGCTGCACTTCTCACCGCACAGCACTGTACTCATTTTTAAGGCAAAACCGGCCATGGATAAGCTAAAACTAAAACCCTGGAAGCTTTGGGAAGAATCTTCACCTGAGGTGGGAGTTAACTAATCAGAGTCCAAAGTGGATAGAAGTAAACAAAGGTTTGGTTCTGACAGAAGGTTGGAAAAGCTCCACAGCAGGAAAGACTTCAACCCAGAGGAAACCAACACATAAATAACAAATTCTAGAATCTTCTGAGACCTTAACTGCAGGCCATATTCACCTTGGATTCTAGACTCAGAACAGCATGATCTCTAGCTTTCAGTCAGGAATCAAAGGGGCTACTCAACATGCTCCATCCCATACAAACCACCCTTTCTCCTGCCTCCCACACATCCTGGGTTTCTGCCAATGCCACCAGCCTAGGGACTCCCTGAAGGACAGGGCCATCTGCCCCAATCAGGACAGCAGACACTGCAAAAAAAAAAATAACAGTAGGGTCAAACTGCCCTGGAGAGGGAGCCCAACTCCTAACCCACACCTGTAAGAGCCAGCTCTCCAGCAGCAGGAGGCCAAAATACAGAGTTGGAGATACCTCACCTTACTCCCACTGATGGTATGGAACTTTTTCTCCAGAACCTTCTTCACAGGTTCTTCTTCTTTAAAGGTGATGAAGACAAAACCTCGTCTTTTGTTCGACTTTGGATCCATTGGAAGCTCAATGGCCTCGATCTGTAAATATATGCAAAGCTCAGAACCAATAATGCCTCTTCCTACCTGGCCCCCAGGACCCGTAGGGGACTCCAAAGAGAGAAGACCCTAGGAAGGCCAGAGTGAAAAGCCTTGCTGACGAGGGCAATGGCCAGCCAAGGCTGCCAAGGACCAGGGAGAAGGCAAGCTCAAGGCAACTGGCAAGTCACTCCCAAAGACACACTCACCTCCCCAAACTCGCCGAAGTATTCTCTGATCTTCTCCTCAGTGGCTTCAGGATTCAGACCCCCTACAAAAATTTTCTTTACCGGATCCTTTTTCATGGCCATGGCCTTTTTGGGGTCAATGACACGGCCATCCAGCCTGTGTTCCTTCTGGTCTAGAACCTGTCCCAACAGAAGAAAATCAAGTTTTAACTCAGCAGCACCAACCTCACCAAGGCCCTTCCTTGAGCCAGACAGGCCCCAACACGGGTACACAGAACTTGTTCGTCCCCTCCAAACTACCCTCAATCTGACTTAGCAACCGAACTTCATCTCCTAACTTCAAGTACAGCTCTTTTATCTGAATACCTACAGCCCACCCCCGCCCCCACCAGCTTTCCCAGCAGCTGGCAGTTTAAAGCTGGTCTCTCAGAAGTAAAGAAACAGTGATGAAGAGTCCAGGCTGAGGGTGGGCTGCTTGCTTGGAAACCACCCCTTTCTGGTGTGTAAACTCTTCTACTTACCCTTCTGAGTATTTTCTGTAAAATGAGACTAAAATAATGCCTACTCCACAGCATCTCTAGACTCCTTATTCTAGTGCTCATAAAACACTGGCTTTATCAGTGCCAGTGTAGGCATCAAACACCAATTAAACTCTTCCTGGACGACCTGAGTCCATACCTACTACCCACCCCTTAATCTGTATTTTTAAACCCTTCACAAACAGTTAAGTTCCTCACCTCTGTGTTTCCCCAAAGCTCAACCACCTACAGAACACACCAACTAATCATGCTCAGAATGGTATCCTCTTAGAATGAACTTAAGACCACTGACATCAAACATCCTGCTTACCTTCTCCACACTGGCTGCATCTTTGAAGAGGATAAACCCAAACCCTCTTGACCGGCCAGTGTTTGGATCCATTTTTATGGTACAGTCAACGACCTCTCCAAATTTGGTAAAATAATCCTTTAGGTCCTTTTTGCTGGTATCCCAGCTCAGGCCTCCAACGAACATTTTTCTGAAATGGTAAAGACACGTGCCAGCCCTTCCTGGGTACAGGTTCTAAGCAAAGTCGCCATCTAGCCCACAGATCTACCCCGAGTCCCCCAGGGTCCTACATTTGGAAGGCGCCAACAAATCCCCACCCTCCCAAACAACCTTGACCCTAGAGCAGCTTCAGACTCGGTGGCCCCCGACGGGGCAAGGGGACCAAGGGCACTCTGGCCCGGGCACCTATCGGCCCTGAACGCAGAGGGAGCCATGTGACTACAAGCACGTCTCTCCAGCGGCCGTCGTCCCTGCCCCTCCAGGCCACCCCCGAGAACTCGCTCTTAAGGAACTCGAGGCTTCCGGGGGCCGGAGACCGCGTTCAGACCGTGACTCCGCCCCCGGGAAGGGGGGGGAACGGGGAGGCAGCGAGGCCGCGGCCGGGGCGCGCGCCAACTCCGCCCACGCAGCCCCGCCGAACCCCAGGCCGGCCCGGCCCCGGGTCCGAGCGCACTCCCCTTTCCGGGCCGCCCGCCCCCAGCCCAGCGCGAGCGGCCCCGGGGCGGCGCCAAAGCCGACCCAACAAACTCCTGCAAACTCCGGCGCGAACGGCGAGCCCGCGAGCCCGCGAGCGCGGAGGGGCCGGGCGGCGGGCAGCCAGCAGGCCCCGGCCGCCCGCCCGCCCGCCCCTCCCCCCGCCGCGTGGCGCCAACAAAAGGCGGCCCCGGAACAAAGGCGGCGCCCCGGTCGGCCCGCGGCCGCACCTACCCCGCGTCCTCCTCGTTCTTGCTGGCATTGATCTGGTCGCCCTCGGCGCCGTTCTGGTTGCCGGCCGGGGGCGCCGCGCTCCCGCCTCCGGCGCCCGTCGCGGCCCCGGTGCCGGACCCCGCCGGCGACTCGCCTTCGGGGGCGGCCTCGTGTCCGTTCTCGGTGGCGCCCGTCGTCTCCATGGGCTGCTCCTCACCCGCTTCCGACATGCTAGGCCGAGGCGCGGCAGCTCCTGCAACAAGCGGCCCCGGCCCGTCAGGCCCGCGCGGCTCCCGCCCCGGCTCCCGCCCCGGCTCCCGGCCCGGCTGCCGCCCGCCGCCCGCGGGCCCGGCCGCTCACCTCGCCGCCGATGACGCCGCGGGGCCCGCTCGTCCCCACCCGCCGGGAAGGCGCCGCGGGCTCGGCCGCGCTCACGCCTGCGCTGCCGGGCCTAGCCTCCGCCGCCAACGGAGCCGCCGCGACCTCGCGACCTCGCGCCCTCCGCCGCCGCCGCGCCGCACAGACCCACCGACCGACAAGCTCACTCGGGCCCGCGCGGTGCCGCCGCCTGACAATGCCGACTCGTGGCGCTCTTTATAATGCCGGGGCCGGGCCCACCTCGCAACAAGGCGCGTGCTCATTGGTTTCGCTCGCCCGTCACTCAAACGCGCGCTAGCGCCCCATTGGCCGCAGCGGCGCGCGTACGCTAAATCCGGGCGGGCTTTGTCCTCACTTTAGAACCCGCGCGAGCGGGGCCCGCGGAGGTCTGCCGGGCCGGGCCGGGCCGGGCGCGACCCCAGCCCTGCCGCGAGCCGCCGGGCCCGGGACCCCCGCGGCCGAGGGCGCCGGCGACCGACCCCTCCGCGGTCTGAGGCCGCAGGCTCTCGTCGCGGGGCGCCCCAGCCCGGCACCGCTAGCTTCGCCCACTCCGCTTTCCCAAAAGAGGAAACGGGGCTCTAAGAAGTCTGGCAAGCCCCGATCGTCCGGCTGGAAGCGGGAGAACGCGGGCGGCCGAGACGGGGCGCGCGGCGCCCCCCAAGGCCAGCGCCAGGGCTCCCCCTTGACCCTGGTGCCCTCGCGGCCCAGCGCTCCCGCTCTTTCCGCCGCCTCCCTCGGGCCAGAAGCGGAGAGGGGGTGGAGCCCGCTGGCGTCGGGGCCGCCGGGGCCGCTGGTTCTCGGGCAGGATGTGGCGCGAGACCCTGGGACCCGGGTGTTCGCCGATCCTGGGGCGTCCGGCATCACCTAGGCGATTAGCGTCGTTTTCACGCTGGGGGTTCACATTTCCCATTCGACTTCATTCACTTATTTCTGCTGAAATCTCTCTTTAAAAGGAAAAATAAACCATTTCCCTGAAATCATGAAGATGGTAGGTGGGGAGGAGTGGTTCTTTTTTCCTAATACACCACACCCCTTAATCTGAGCTGCTTGACCACCACGCTTGAAAGGCCTGCGTTAATCCCCTGATTCCTTATAATCATATGGGTGCCGGGGCCCCAAATGGACCAGGATTACCACCTCTGAAGCCTGGGGATTACCAGAGAGCAACAGAACCTAAGTAGCTGGCATTTCCCGCTGAGTTCCTGCAGCCAGGCCTAGTGTGGGGGTCTGGGGGTTCTGTTTCTCATCTGGTCTTCTAACAACCCAATGGAAGGTGATACCATCACAAATTTATCAGTGAGAAAACTGAAGCCCGGAGTGTGGACCCAAGGCTCGCTCCCTAATAATCCAGCTAGCCAGTAGTTGCCAGGGAGAATGAAAAATGTTAACAGTTCCAAATTCAGAAAAAATAATCAACTCCAGAAAATCTGAAGATTTGGTCACAGAGTGCTACCTTCCTCCAAGGTATCCATCAACTAAAGCAGGGGCACGGACCCACAGGTGAGTAAAGACCCTCCAGTTCACCGCAAGGCCCTCCTGACTGTCACTCTCAGACCAGATTCCACAACTGGAACTGAGAGCTCCAAAAAACTGTGGTTGTCTCACTGAAATCTGATAGAAAGGCTTGCAGAATTTAACAGACTCCCCACCCCATCTCCACCCTAGCCCATGCCCACCCACAGAAATAAGCTGCAGGGAGGACTGGGTGCAACAGGGGATGATGGACACAGATGCTGAAGCGATGAAGATAATACAGGTAATTAAGTTCAAAGTCAAATGGTCTAAATGCAGCCACAGAACATAACTACTGATGAGGGCATACATTCACTTAAGCTCCTGCTCTTGACCACACGGATTCCTTTCGCACAACTAGGGAAACACTTTCCATGACCTGAGGATAACATTTGGACAGTCCATCACAGTTTGCAAAATGCTTTCCTCAAAATTGCTTCATTGGAGCCTCAAAATAATTTTTGTGTGACGGTATCCATAATTGATGCACAAAAACACTGAAATCATACCTAAAATTGTGGGGGATCCCTGGGTGGCTCAGCAGTTTAGCACCTGCCTTCGGCCCAGGGCAAGATCCTGGAGACCTGGGATTGGGTCCCATGTCAGGCTCCCTGCATGAAGCCTACTTCTCTCCCTCTGCCTGTGTCTCTGCCTCTCTCTCTCTCTGTCTCTCATGAATAAATAAATAAATATGTTTTAAATGAAAAATAATTTTTAAAAAATGAACTTGTAGCCACAAAGCCAGACCTCCAACTCCACACCAACTCTGCATTGTTTCCATGGCTCCTGGCTATGGTAGTATAAGGGGTCTCTGATCTCCCTAATTCCTTAGTCTAAATTAGATCTATATCAGATTATTCTGAGGCTCAAATGAAGCAATAGTTTAGAAAATAATTTGTGAGGCACCTGGGTGGCTCAGTCAGTTAAGCATCAGACTCGATTTCAGCTCAGGTTGCAATCTCAGGATCGTGAGATGGAGCCCCATGTTGGGCTCCATGCTCAGCAGGAAGTCTGCTTGAGATTCTCTTTCCCTCTCCCTCTGCTCCTCTCAAA